GAAGTTGGGCAGAGTGCATGTAGCAATATTTGCAGGGCCATCATTTGACTCATTCCCTCTTGAAGATAAGGGCATCTCTGCAGGAATGGATTATCCTCCACTCCTGGTCACCTACACCAAGGAATCCTTTAGATATGTAAAACCAGACTTGTTTATTAGTGGGGGGCAAAGTCAGCAAGGAAAGAGATAACTTGAAAGAGGGAACTTGAAGCAGAAATTGACACAGGGTGTTAATAGCACTGGGAGATGAACCTGATAATGACTGGGGCCAGAGTAGGAGCCAATAAAACATTTCTGAATCCAACTCAAGGTTTTGCTGCCTTACCTGATTACCTGAGTGATATTCTCACTGCTCTGCAGGAGAATGAGGGGACACCTGGGTGCCTTCAGGATAGATGTGCCCTGGTAGGAGGCCATAGATCTGGACCATAGATTGCACATCCCTCCAGAGCTCAAGTCAGAAAAAAGCATATTAAAAGTTCCTCTTCTTTGAGCTCTGGAGGCAAAAGGCCTCAAAGGGAAACCATAATCTATTCACAGCGCTGGAAGCACAGTCAATTATATACTAATCTGTGGCAATTTTATATTCATCTTAAAACAGTGGACAGCATCACCACTTGGCTTCCTTAAGCATTTTATCATTATTATCTGTGTCTTTGCTTCATATACAACTTGCAGCAGACAGAAACTAGAGGGAGAAGTCTTTTAACAACAACAACAACAACAAACAACTTAATGGTTTTCTAGAAAGTGTAGGGGCGTGGGAAAACAGCATTTTAGGCAGGACTTAAAAAGGTTTAGACTGTTTTCCACCAGTCTTCAAAGTAAATCCATCTTTCCCCAACAGAGAATGGGGTGTCTTGGGGAGAGGAAAGACAAATGGGGAATCATAGGAGAGAGAGGAGATGAAGTAAAGCATTATTTAGGGAACTATTCCTAGACTAGCAGGCACACCCATATTCAAATTAACCCTTCTAAATGCTCCCCCTCCCTGGGGAGGCTTCTCAAGTCTCTCAAGTCACTGATGCCTTCTCTAAGGGCCCACAGCTCTGTCTGTAGTCCTCTATGTTTCACGGAGTTGAAAAGATTAATTTCAACATCTGTCCTCACATTTAGATTCTGAACTTCCCAAGAATGGAAAAACATGCCTTCCACGCGTCGGTGTTGCCTGCGCCCATCACTGTGCCTGACATAAAGAAGGGCTCCTGCGGTGATTGTTGAGTGTGCTCTTGTCTACATCGGGCCCTCTATGTGCCATTGACCCCCTGGAAGGATTGTAATCTGTCAGTGTGGAGCCGAGGGCCACCTGTCCTTGGGAAGTGAACACTCGTTGGATTAGATCTTTTATTTTCCCTGAAGTTACCATCTTTGTGATTTTTAACTTCTATATTAACACAAGCTAAAATTGTCCCAGATCATTGTTACATTTTAAGGATCAGTAAAAATATATTAGGAAGTGTGCTCAAAGCGTTGTTTTCATCCTGATACTCAGCGAAACGCAAAAGCAGACTGCCCCCACCCCGTATCTACAAAAGTATCATGTGTACACACACACTCACACCTGCTGAAAACTCACAAAATGAAACCAGCTCATGAGTTAGGGTGGTGAGATTGCAGCCGTAGTTTTT